AGGGAGGGAGAGGGGGGAGGCAGGGAGGGGCGGAATAGTCCGGGGCCCGGCCCCGCTGCTCCAAAACCCTCTCTTTTCTCCCCCCAGCTCCTAGCGGCCCAGACTTGGGACACAGGCCTACCCAGCCCCGGAGGTGACCGGCTGGGAAATAGAATTTCAGGATGATGGAAATCAGAACCCTTTTCACTTTGGTTATCACCCCGGTCCTACTCGAAAACTACAAGGTTTACTTGGTCATCTGAGAAGCAAAAGAGAAAAAGGAAGGGTGTGAAACGAAGAGGAATGGGTCAGATGCTTTTTTCCATAGTGCGATATACCCACCTTCTTGTCTTTACCGCTTTGCAAGGACTGGATTTCAAGGAAAACTAACGTTTACCAAATATTAAAACCACCTATGTGAAGCTCAATTTAATTGACAGGGCTTAAGGAATAATTTACTCAAGTTTCTCCATGTAATTTGCATTAACAACAACGTTATATCCATTATCTGTTCTGTGCTAGGTTTTCAGAGAGCAAAATGCCCAAGAAATGACTATCACACTTAGGTACAGGCTCTGTTTAAGGCAGCATTTTACCAAGTCCCACTCCCTTTGTCAAATGTAGTGCAAATAATAAGCATCTTTAAAACATTCCTAAACCAAGAATGATGATGAATTTACTGGGTGGAGGGAAAGGTGAGATTATAGCATCTGAATCCAAAGCTATTTGAGTGGCACAATTATACAGAATTTCCTTCTCAAAGATACTCCATCTCCATCTAAAAAAATACATAGATTATTTAAACATAGGTAATGTTAATTATATTTGGATCCTCATCTTGATGTTTTCCCACAAACAAGTACCTCCTTATTTACATTTTTGGTGAATGAACCGATTGTTCAACCAGTTTTCCTAATCCTACCTGAGAGTAGATACTTCCCTCTTATTTACCTGTTCCCACTGGCCTCCCAATTAATCACCTTGGATATCATGAAGTGTCTAATCTGTAAAATAGCTTTCCCAATCCACCATTCCCCTTTTTCCATCCTCTCTACTTCACTCTTAACTCAGGCCTTCATCACCCTTTTCCTAGAATGCTGCAATAATCTCCTTGATCTCCCTGTGTCCAGTCTGTCCCCCTTCAGTCCATTCTCTACCTGATTGACAAAGATTTTTATCTGCTATACAAAGAGCCATGCTCCTTCTTCACCAGTGGCTCCCTATAACATCCAATAAAAGATTACAAATCTTTCAACTTTTTTTGGAGCACCATTACTTCACCCATACTAAAGTATTTATCTGGGGAATAAGATGTCCATAGGGACTTCTTAAAACTCTGACATATTCCTGGGAATCTAGAAGAAAATATGCATGCTTAGGGTTGTGTGCATGCCTAGGGCCATTTGATTGCTCAGGGAAGACCTAAGAAGGCCTTAAGCCTTCACTTCTGCTGACCTTGAGGCTCCATACAAGTAAGGAGTAAAGACTAAGGTAGAATTATAAATTCCTTGGCTGAGTATGGAAGGCAGTCCCCAACACACATACTGAGATCCTCAGCTAAGACTGGGAGACATTAGTTGAAGACATTTAAGGAGATCTCTGTCCAGTCATCAGATGACCACCTAGGTAACTAAGCAAAGACTTCAGGGTTCACACACAACAAAGAACACAGACTTGAAGGAATGCATTCAGAAAAGTCACTAAACCAACTACTAGAACAAACAGAAACAATAAAAGTCCTGGGGAGAGGGTAGAATTTGATTTCCTGAGTTGCCAAATTTTATTATTTGCAATGTCCAATTTTCAAAATAAAAACCATTAAAAGTATAATACTTACAAAGAAACAAGAATATAATGCCTAAACATAGGAGTAAAAGCAATCAGTAGACACTATCCTTGAGGAAGCTCATACATTGGACTTACTAGATAAAGACTTTAAGTAAGATAGTTTAAATATGTTCACAATGCTAAAGGAAACCATGTATAAAAAACGAGGAAAATATGAGAAGCGTGTTTCACCAAACAGATAATATCAATAAAGAGATTTATTTTTAAAAATATAAATAAAAGTTCTGGAGTTGAAAAGTATAATAAGTAAAAAACCCATTAGAGGGGCTCAACAGAAATTTCATCAGGTGGACAAAAGAATTTGCAAATTTGGATTCAGGTCAGTTTTATTGTGCTTTACTTTATTGCACTTTGAAGATCTTTTTTTCAAACTGAATGTTTGTAGCAATCATACATTGAGTAAGTCTATCAGTATCATTTTTTTTTAAATGTTTTTTATTGATTTGAGAGAGAGGGGAAGAGAGATAGAAACAACAATTGGCTGCCTCCTGCACACCCCCTACTGGGGATTGAGCCCAAAACTCAGGCATGCACCCTGACCAGGAATCAAACCTCAACCTCCTGGTATATGGGGCAATGCTCAAACAACTGAGCCACACTGGCCGGGCTATCAGTATCTTTTTTTTAAAATCTTTTTTGTTGAAAGTATTTACAGATGTCCCCTTTTTTCCCCCATTGACCCCCCTCCACCCCACATCCACCCCACCCCCAGGCCTTCCCCATACCAATGTCTGTGTCCATGGGTTATGCTTATAAATATATAAGTTATTTGATTAATCTCTCCCACCCGCTCCCCCATCCCCATCTTCCCTCTGAGATCCCTCAGTCTGTACCATGCTTCTATGTCTCTGGATCTATTTTGTTCATCAGTTTATTTTGTTTATTACATTCCACATATGAGTGAGATCACATGGTACTTGTCTTTCTCTGAACGGCTTACTTCACTTAGTATAATACTCTCCAGTTCCCTCTATGCTGTCCCAAAGGATAAGAGAGCCTTCTTTTTTACAGCTGCATAGGATTCCATGGTGTAAATGTACCACAGCTTTTTTATCTACTCATCTACTGATGGGCACTTGGGCTGTTTCCAGATCTTAGCCATTGTAAATTGTACTGCTACGAACATAGAGGTGCATAAGTTCTTTTTGATTGGTGTTTCAGATTTGTTTGTTTTTTCCAATAGCATTTGCTCATTTAATGTCTCTGTCACCTTTTGGTAATTCTCACAATATTTTAAACTTTTTCATTATTATATTTGTTGTGGTGATCTATAATCAGTGATCTTCAATGTTACTGTTGTAATTGTTTTGGGGCACCATTAACATATCAACATTAACAGGAGTTTAGAGATTAATTCCAACTCTCAGAGATGACTTTGAGGGGTTCAAGACTTCAGTGGAAGAAGTAACTGCAGAGATGGTGAACAAAACAAGAGAACTAGAATTAGAAGTGGAGCTATAAGATGTGACTGAACTACTGAAATTTCATGATGAAACTTCAATGGATGAGGAGCTGCATCTTATGGATGAGCAAAGAAAGTGTTTTTTTAGGATGGAATCTACTCCTGGTGAAGATACTGTGAAGATTGTTAAAATGACAATAAAAGATTTAGAATATTGCATATACCAGGTGATAAAAACTGCAGGGTTTGGAGGATTGACTCTAATCTTGAAAGAAGCTCCACTGTGGAAAAAATACTATCAAACAGTATCACATGCTATAGAGAAATCGTTCCTGAAAGCAAGAGTCAAGTGATGTGGCAAAGTTCACTGTTGTCTTATTATAAGAAATTGCCACAGCCCGGCTGGGCATGGCTCAGCAGTTGAGCATCAACCTACGATCCAGGCGATCAGGGTTCGATTCCCAGTCAGGGCACATGCCCAGGTTGCGGGCTCGATCACCAGTCAGGGGTATGCAGGAGGTAGCCAATCAATTACCCTCTCATCATTGATGTTTCTATCTCTCCCTCTCCTTTCCTCTCTCTGAAATCAATAAAGATATATTTAAAAAAAAAAAAATCGCTACAGCCACCTCAATCTTCAGCAACCACCATCCTGATCAGTCAGCAGCCATCAACATCAAGGCAAGACCCTCCACCAGCGAAAACATGACTCACTGAAGGCTGAGATAACAGTTAGGTTTTTTTTTTAGCAATAAAGTATTTTTTAAGTAAGGTATATAAATTATTTTTTTCAGGCATAATACTATTGCACACTTAATAGACTATAGAACAGTGTAAACATAACTTTAATATGTGCTGATAAACCAAAGAATTCATGTGACTCACTTATTATGATATTCACTGTATTGTGCTCATCTGGAACTGAACCCACAAAACTCCAAGGTATGCCTGTAGAAAAGAGAATAAAGAAATATAAACAGAGCCTCAGAAGCCTATGGGACACAATCAAGTATACCAACATATGTATAATGGGAGTCCTAGAAGGAGAGGAGAAAGAGGTAAAGCAGAAATAATATTTGAAAAATAATGGTCAAAAACTTCCCACATTTAGTGAAAAACAATTTACACATCCAAGAAGTGTAAAGCTCCAAGTGGGATAAAGTCAAAGAAATCCACACCTAGACACATTATAATCAACCTGTTGAAAGCCAAGGCAAGGAGAGAATCTTAAAACTGTCAAGAAAGAAGCCACTTATCAAATAATTCTCAGTAAGATTTATAGCCAAAGCTATGGAAGCAGAAAGCAGTGGGATGACATTCAAGTGATGAAGGAAAAAGACTTTCAATGAAGAATTCTATATCCAAACACACTATCCTTCAAAAATGAAGGAGAAATTAACACATTCCCAAAATGTATGTATAAACAAAATTAGAATCTGTCACTAGGAAATTTATCCTACTAGAAATACTAAAGGGAATCCTTCGGGCTGAAATG